AAAATAGTATAAAAAGTTAATTTAGATCATTTTTTATTTAATATAAAAAAATTATAAAGATTGATTAAAATTTAAATAATTTTTAATAGAAATAATGATTGATTTTTATATTGAAATACAAATCTTTTTTACTAACTCATATTTATAAATAAGTTATAATTATAATATATAATTAAATAAATATATTTTTTCAAAATAAATTTTAATTATATATTAAAAATTATATTTTAAAAAGAATTTTGTGTTATATATTTAAATTTTTAAAAAATTATTATAATTATATTTTATTATAATTATATTTAATATAATTATAATTATATTATAGTTTTATATTTAGTAATTTATTTTATTATAAAGATTATAGTTTTATATTTAGTAATTTATTTTATTATAAAGATTATAAGATATAATTTTATTTTATTTTAAAATTTAATAATTTTTAATATATAATAACAATCAAAAGTAATGACTTAGAAACTAAATTTATTAATAAAACATAATAAAAATTAAAATTTTCTTTATATTAAAATTTATAATTTTATTAAGAAATAATTTTTATTTTTATATTAAAATAAAGTTTATTAATTATAATTTAACATATATTTTTTTTAGATTTTTTCTAAAAAAGTTATTATTTTAATTATAAAGTTAATATAAAAATTTTTATTAATTAAATTTCATTTTTATTTAATAAAAATTTTTATATTAATTTTATAATTAGAATAATTCTTTTAGAAAAAATCTAAAAAATCTGAAAAAAATATATATTGAATTATAACTAATAAATCTTATTTTGATATAAAAATAAAATTATTTCTTAATAAAATTATAAATTTTAATATAAAGAAAAAATTTTTATTTTTATTATATTTTATTAATAAATTTAATTTTTGAATTATTATTTTTGATTATTATTATATTTAATATATTTATTTTATTAAAATTAATCAAAAATATTATTTGAATATTTATATAATTAAATTACTAATAATTTTTTATTTGAATTATTTAAAATTATTTAAAAATTAATTCTAAAAATTTATATATAAATATAATTATATTATAATTAATTTTTTATTAATTTTTTTATATAATATAACAAATTTTAATTTATTTTTTAAATTATTTTTCTCATAAATTTATTTTAAAAAAATATTAATTATATTATAGATCTTAATATAATAAAAAGTTTACTTATTATATTAAAAGTAATTTTATTAGTAAAAAAATTAAATTTTTACTTTAAATTATTTTTTTGTTAATTTACTTTTAATTTTAAATAATTTATTATTTTTATATTATTAGTTATATAATATTTATTTATTTATTTTTTAACTTTATATAAATTTAAAATAGTTATATATATATATAGATCTCTTATTAAAAATTTAATTTTATAAATATTAGATATTTTCTTTAATTTTTTATTTTCTTTATTATTTTTATATTTCTTTCTTATAATAAATATTCTTCTTAATAATTATAATTTTATTTAAAATATTTTTATTTTATATTAATAATTAAGAAATAATGAATTTTATAAATTTTTATAACTTAATAAAAATTAATTAATACTTAAAGATAATAATTAGAAAGTTATTTATAATCTTAATATTAAAAGATAATTTAATTTTAGTTTTAGAAGTATTACAAAAATCAATCTTAATAATTTAATTTAATTAAATAATAAATAAATAAATTAAATTATAGAAATCATCAATATTAAAATTTTAAGTATAGTAATTTTACTTTTATATATTTTTAAACTTATTCTAATTACTTATAATAAATTAATTTTTTATATTAATAATAAAATTATTAAGATTTAAAATTTAGTAAAAGAAAATTAGTTTTAATATAAGTTACAAGAGCTTGATATTTATATGAGTGATAAATTAATTAAATATTTTTATTTTTTAGAAAAGAAAAAAATTTACTTTTTAAGAATATTTAACTTTTATATACTAAAGCTTATATTATTATATATTTAGATTCTAATTGAAATGACTAATAGATAAATTAAGATCTTATAAATCAAGTAATTAATAAAATTATTTTAATTTTTAAATAAATATATTCAGAAAAAATTATATTTTTTATATTTAATAATAATTATAATTATATTATTTATATTAAGAATATTCTTATAATTTTATAAATAAATTTAAAAGATAATAATAAATAATTATTTCTTTATAATAATAAAATATCTAATAGATCTTCATATAATTTGATATTTGTTAATATTAATAATGTAATAAAATTAAAAAATATCAAATAAATTCTGAAAAAATATAACTTATAATTAGAAATTTGATAAAATAATATAATATTTATAAATTATATATTTTTAATTTAATAAATCTCTAATATTATATAAGTAAAATTCTTGATTATTAATCTGATTTTATTTCTTAAAAATTTACTTATAAGAAATTATTAAAATGATTAAATACATATATATTTTTTATCTAAAATTTTATTATAAACTTAATTTTATTAAATTATTCTAAAATAAGATAAAGTGATATATATATTTTTATTTATTTAAGAATCTTAAGATAATTATTTTACTAATATTAGATTCTGTTAATTTTATTAATATTTATTATTATATATATTAATTTGCTTAATATATAAATATCTATAAATAGAATCTTTTAAATAAAGCTACTATCTTTATTATTAAAAAATATAAATCATATTATGATATTTTAAATAGTATTTTACAGAAGTTTGATTATATAAATTAATATTAGTATTTAATCAATTTAAAAATAAATTAGCATGTGATTTTAAGAAAAAAATGAAATTTATATTTAATAATAATATTTTTTCTTTAAATAAAAATAATAGTTATTATTTTTGATTATAATTCTTAAAATATATTAAATAATATATAATAAATCATTCTTTCTTCTTTTCTTTAAATAAAAATAAATATATTAAATAATGTATAATAAATCAATAATTAGCATAAATTTCTTTAAGATTTTGATCAATTAGATTATGAATCAATCATTATTTTTATTAAATATATATGACTATACATAAAATTTAGCCAATCAGAAATATCTCTCCAATGCTAAAAATTCATTCTATTTACTACTGATTTCTATTTAAAGTATCTATAAACAATACATTAGTTTATAGATCTTATTAAAAAACTATTTAATAATGCATTTTTTTTATTATTATATTTTTATTTATAAAGTCTTTGCATTTTAAAGTATTGGATATCTTTAGAGGGCCTGTACCATATATTAATTATATATTGTTATAGTGAAATTCAGATAATTATTTTATAATAAGGTACCATATAGTATGAAATATAAAGTAAATTGGATATTATTCTTATCATTATAAATTCAGCTATAATAAATAATCTTTTTCGTCAGCAGATTAAATATGAACAAATCAAATTTTTAATTATAGAATCTAATCTAAAAAATATTATTAATTAAGCATGTGAATTTCGGGTCAGTGTTCCAAAATCAGTCACTGAGTTTTTTAACATCCCTAGTTCGATGTTTCAGTTAGGAACACTAATTGTATATATGAATTTGAAGGTAATTTTTCAAAAATATAATAAATAATAAAGCTAAAAAGAAAATGAATATTAAAACTTATATATCTTAAGTATTAGAAAGAAAATATGATAACGATAATCATCTGATTCACTGGATCATACAATCTAATTAACTACCAATTATTTATATCGTACGATCTTCAAAATAAAACCACCTCTTTTTGATTTCGATAAATTTTACTTCTAAAAGTTCTGATCAAGAGATTTATCAAAATGGCTCGTAAATTCTTTGTTGGGGGTATACATACGTATATATATATATATTTTTTTATATTGGCTCGATTGATAAATTGAATTATGTTTTATTTTAGGTAATTTTAAAATGAACGGAACAAAAGTATTTCTGCAAAATTTGTTAGATAATTTAAATTCTGGGCAATTAGATTCAAATGTTGGTTCGTTGAAATCTAACTATCAACACTAAATAGTTAATTTTTACTCGGTGAAGGATTTGATTATTTAAATTTGATGTGATTTAATTAAATTTTTTAGAAGTTGTTGTCGCACCGCCAGCGATTTATCTTGATCAAGTTCGTAAATCTGCCCGTAAGGATATTGGAGTTGCCGCACAAAATGCTTTTAATGTCACGAGTGGTGCTTATACCGGAGAAATTAGGTCGGTCAGAAATAATTGAATTTTTATTAAACTGATAGTTAAACAATTTTATTAATTTACAACGTGGCAGCCCTGAACAATTGAAAGACCTTGATATTGATTGGGTGATATTAGGTCATTCGGAACGAAGAGAAATCTTTAAAGAATCCGATGAGGTAAAAATTAACTTCGATTAAATTTTTTGATTTGTTTTTAGCATTTAATTTTTAATATCAATAAAAAAGTTTATAGCATCAAAAGTAGCCCATGCGTTAAAAGTAGACATGAAAGTTATCGTTTGTATCGGCGAAAAACTTGAAGAACGTGAATCTGGCAAAACTTTTGAAGTAGTAACACGACAACTGGCAGCAATTTCTAAAGAAATTTCTGATTGGTCGAATGTTGTAATTGCTTATGAACCAGTATGGGCTATTGGCACGGGTAAGGTTGCAACACCTGAGCAGGTATCTATTCTTACAATTAAGATATATTTTTGTTCTTTCAAAATTATTTATGATCCTTTATATCAAAGGCACAAGAAGTTCACGCTTATATTCGTAAATGGTTAAAAGAAAACGTGTCTGAACAAGTAGCCGAAAATACCCGCGTTATTTATGGAGGTAATTGAGTATTACATCATCAAAATTTTTTATTTTTTATATAAGATTTTTAAATTTAAATTATGCAGGGTCCGTGAATGGCGCCAACGCTGCAAAACTTGGTAAAATTTTTTTATGCTTGAATTTTGTCAATTGATGTTTTTTTAAATGAAGTTTGACATCAATATGTTGCCTCCAAATTAGCTAAACAACCGGATATTGACGGGTTCCTTGTTGGTGGTGCATCATTGAAACCAGAGTTTGTAACAATAGTGAATTCTCGTGTTTAAAATGCCTTCATTAAAACTTTATAATTTATTATAATCCAGCCGAATAATAAAATTATATATTATCTATTTTGCTATCTGTAAGCATTTGCACAATATTTGTTAGAATATTTTATTATGTGCATGAAACGGAAAAAAATTGAAATTTTTATTTCCACGACTATTAAAATAATTATTGATAAAAAATCATGAGTCTATCAGCGCGACCCCGGAAGCCTACGGACAGTGCGGAATCAGGTGATCTTTTCGGGCCAGTGCCGGATAAAATTTATAATAAGAATGCAGATATTTTTTTGATCGAACGAGCAAGACCAAATTCGACTCAGAGATCACATAAATCTGTCTTGGACTATTAATTAAAAATGTTGGGAAGGCAATTCTGTTCCACAACCAATATTACTCTTATTCTGATTCCAATTAAGAATTTGAAATTTGATTTATTAAAACTGATCTCAAATCGCAACACAAACTGAAAGTTTCTGATGGAACTATAAACAAAATTTAATTTATTTTTCATTTGGTTTGAACTTTTCTATTACTTTAATACTAATTATAAATTTTGGCAGTACAGACACATATCAATCATGTGACATTATGCGAACAGGTGGGTCGGGTTGGATGGATCAGGTCGGATAATGATAGAAATTAATATATTTATTATTACAAGCTATATTTGAAAAGAGCCAAGGTATAGCTTATAATGATGTGTGAAGTATAAACTGAATTATTTATAATATTAAGTGAGATCAAAGTTATTTTAAAGACTTTCTAGTACTAATATTTATGAGTATTATATTAATACAAGAATTATAACAAAGTAAATGAAGAAAGTTGTGATTATGAAAATTAAAGATATGAAAAACTAAATTATAAATCAAAGATTATAAACTAAATATTAAAAACTATTAAGTATATTAATTTAATCTTCTTTCATTATCTTTTCAAGCAAAAGATAAAAATAAAAACAAGAGTAAATAGCAAACAAAAATTAAATATTTTTATACTTAGGAAAACTTGCAAAACTTTTTTAATCAAATAAAATAATATATAGCTTTTAAAGTTAAGATTTTTAATTATAATTATTTTTTAAATAAGAAAAATATATAATAATTAAATATGATTTATTATGATAAAAAAGATAAATAAATAGTTATCAAAATAAAAATTCTTTAAACTTTTAAATATATTTATTTTAAATTTTCAAGTTCTAATATTTATATATATTTAAAATTAAATAAAATTATTAATATCTATTAGATATAATTAGATTTCTTTATAATCATATCTTTTTATAATCATCTTTTTTATAATTATCTTTTTTGAATTTTTGAATTAATAATTAAAATATTTCTTTATAATTATATTTTTTTATAATTACTTAATTTTATTTTTCTAAGTGTAATAATTATAGAAAAATTTAATTATATTAAGTTAATTATTATAATATGATATAGATTTTCTAAAAATATTTAATATTTTAAAATATAAAGACTTTATAAATAAAAATATAATAATAAAAAAATATATTATTAAATAGTTTTTAATAAGATCTATAAATTAATATATTTTTTATATATAATTTTTTAAGAAATAAATCAATAAAATTATAAAATTATAAATATAATAATAATAAGTTATCTTTCTTTAGATCTCTTTAGTTTAAATCTTTATTTTACATTATTTGTATAACATATTAGCTTTATATTATATTTTTAAAAAGATCAATTTCATTCTGAATACATAAATAATCATTATATATTTATTAATACATCTAGATTTAATATATTATTATTCAGATAATTATCATATGTATCACAATTATTAATTTAGATTATTAATATTTTTAATTACTTTATTATTAATATTTCTTTATATTTTTATTCATTCTTATTATTATTATTTATATCATTATTTATATTATTTATAATTATTGAATTATAATTAGTTGCTCTCTGGAGATGCAAATTAAGTTAATTAATTCTGTTCAATCATATATATTTTAAAAATAGATTTCATTATTAATTTATTTGCTTTTTGTATTTATTTCTTTCATTATAAATAAAATCTCTCTATTTTATAATTTTCTCTCAGATCTAAATACTTTTAAATAATAAAAATAATCATAAGTTATAAAATTAAAATTATTCATATTATATTTTATTTTGTTTATAATCATTAATAAAATAATCTTACAACTTGGTAGCAGCAGATATAATTATTACAAATACCACTTTTTAACATTTTATTACACATTACATACTACATATACTATATACATATTTATTTTTAGTTTTAAATAAAATAATAATTAACAGAATAAACTCAGAATAATTTGTTCAATTTATGTAAAATATAACTGAACTTATCAAAATAGTTAATTAAATTATCTACTTACTTAGGAGAACTAAATAAAAATGTATTTATTTGAATTATGCAAGCCAAAACTATATTTCAGACTCAAGAAATTATAGATGAGAAAACTCAAATTCAGTATGCTACTATCATTTTGTCTGATGCAGCTTTATATTAATATCTCAATAAAGTAAAGACAGATGATAATATTGCATCTTATGAATAATGGTAAGACTTTATTATAGCATTAAGAGAAGCCTTTTAGTTATCATATTATCAATAACATCTCTGTAGACAACTTCATCTTTTTCATTAAACTGGATTTATCCAAGACTATGATACAAAATTTAGAAATATAGTTGGACAAATCACAGATATGAGTGCTTTAGATTAAATTATATATTTCATAGGAGATCTAAAATCAGTTACAAAAATAAAAATTAATTACTAAGTATCAGAAATCTTAAAAGATACTTGAAAGTTAGCCATTTGCTATGACATAGCTATATATAGACAAGACAGATCTATAGATCTACCAAACAGAAATAATAATTATTACTTACAGAATTAGCATAAAAGTCATCAAAATAATAATTCTGTATTAATGAAACTTGATTAGACAGAAAGTTATTATATTAATAGAAAGAACAATAATAATTAGAAAAATAACAAGTCCAAAGCTATCTGTTACAATTATGACAAATCAGGTTACTTTACAAAGAATTATTATTCAAAATCAAAGATCAAAATTACAAATATTAAAAAAAATAAGAAAAATCTTCATATGAGAAAGTTGAATTTACTTATCTTGAAGATAACAGAGAAAAATTATTAAAATTTAATAGTTAAGTAAATAGTAAATTAACATGAATTTTACTAGATAGTAATGTATTCAGAAATTTTGTAAATAAAAAATTTGTACAAAAGAACAAAGTTAAATTACAGAAGATTATATTAGTCATAATTGAACTTACAGATGACAAGAAGATAATTACCATTATCATGATAAAGATTAATGAGTTAAAATTAAAATATATAGAATGTATAAGATGAATATATAAGTTTTAAAATTACAGAGATATGATCTTATTCTAGATAAATCTTGATTATTTTATATCAACCTCACTATAGATTGAAGAAATAATATCATCATCTTTACCTATAGATCAAAGATAATAAAAGTACAAGCTGATAATAAAGTAAAGTTAGGCTCAAGCTGTAATTTAATTTATATTTCAAGACAATAAATTACAAATCTATCAGCAAATACAGAACTCTTCATTATATATATTAATAATACTAAAGATAAAGAAGATACTAAAGAAAAATCACTTTTATCAAAAGTATTAGAAATTAAGAAGAAATACAAAGATATATTTCCAGAAATCTTATATAATTAACTATCATCCAAAAGAGTAATTGATTATAAAATTAATCTTATTCCAGGATCTGAATCATCTTTTAGATCTATCTATAGACTCTATTTTACAGAGATAGATGAGTTTAAGAAATAATTAGCTAATTTAATACAGAAAGATTTCATTTACCCTAGTGTTTCACCATTTGGAGCACCAGTTCTTTTTGTATATAAGAAAGAAGATATATTAAAATTATATATTAATTATAAAGCTTTAAATAAAATCACTATCAAGAATCACTATTTCTTATCCAAAATTAATGAATTGATAGATAGACTCACAGGTTCAAAATACTTTTTAAAGCTAGATTTATATTCAGGATATCACCAAATATACATTGCAGAAAAAGATATATACAAGATAGTATTTAGAACTCACTATGAACATTATGAGTTCTTGATTCTACTTTTTGATCTTATTAATGTATCAGTCACTTTCATGATACTCATGAATAATATATTTCATATTTATTTTAATAAATTTGTAATCATATATCTAGATAATATCTTGATTTACAGTAAAATAAAGAAAAAGTATATTTAATATCTTCAGATAATATTAAAAATATTTTGCAAATACAAATTATATATCAAATAGAAAAAATGTAATATCATACAATAATATATAAAATATCTTGAATATTTTATCTCAGCAGATGATATTTCTGTTGATCAAAGAAAAATTATCACTATTAAAAATTGATCAATATCAACAAATATATCAGAACTTCTCTTATTTCTAGATCTTACAAGTTATTATAGAAAATTTATGAAAGATTTTTCAGCAATTGCCTCATCACTTATAGCACTTCTATATAAAGATCAAGAATATGAATAGTTTACAATAGCATAACAAGCTTTTGAATAACTAAAGTAACATTTCACATTAGTACTAGTCTTGTTATTACCTGATTCTAAACTACTATTCATAATCATAACAAATACTTCAGATTTTGCTATTGAAGTTATGTTAAGTTAAAATCAAGATAAGAGTGATTAACCAATAGCTTTTGAGTCAAGAAAACTTTCTCCAACTAAAGAATTACTTGCTATTATATATGCTATTAGATTCTGAAAGTTATATTTAGAAGAGCAGAAGTTTACAATAATTACAAATCATATCTCTTTGAAATATATCAAAATACAACATAATTTTTCAAAGAGACAAGCTCATTAGTTAGAGATTTTACAGGTCAATAACTTTGAAGTCAAGTACAAATCTGGCAAAAATAAT